GTTATCGTGCGAAGGAGAAGGATCGATGGAGGAAGAAATGAGTCCGAGGTTGTTCGGCGTTCCAATCGGAGGAGAGGCGAAACGCGCAAGGGAATTAGGGGAAGGCTTAACGCCGGCAGCAGCACCGTCGGAGGGGGTGGACGAGACGCATTTACAGCTGCAGCAGCCTGGTGGGAGTGAGACGCGACGTGGCTTCGACAGTTGCACCGAGCAAATCAGAGGGTCTGTAATTGAATTTTGGTTCAGGCTTTTAGGTCGGGTATAGGTTGTGGATCCTAACGGAATGTTCCCGTGCGAATGAAACACACATGCTTTCTAAAAAACTTTGAAACCGGGACCCACCCCCACTTCAAGAACTTTAGTGGGACATCTTTCCCTATATATATTTTCTTTTCCTTAAAATCTACACTCTAAAGTAAAAATAAAAATTAAAAATCCATGTTTTAGTATAATATTTTCCTAATTTTTTTAATATAAAAGTAAATGTACAAATTATATCGCTTTTTGTCATTTTAGGTATTTAATTTTTCTTTTAATTTAAGTGCCTAATGTTTGTAATATTGTTATTTAAATATCTATGTGATGTATCGGTCGTTAAAAATTTCATTAAAAATAAGTTAATCAATCAATATTTGATATGTAATTTGATTTTTTAATTCTTTTATTTTTTTATAAAAAATATAATTCATAAATTTTCCCAAAAAATTTCAATTTTTTCATTTTTTCATAAAACACACAAGAATTCCAATTCACCCATAAGCAACCATCCATTCACTCACCAACCATTCATCGATAGTTCACACGTCGATTGAGAAAAATATTTGTTGAAATTTAGAAATTTGGGGTTAGATTTAGGAATCATGGTTTAGAGATTTTGGGAGTTTAAAGTTATGATTTGGGTAGGTGATTGGTGGGATAGATGTTTTGGGATTAAGGAGTTTGAGAGTTTAAAAATATTTTAAGGTTTTTTTTAAATAATAATAATTCTATGTGTTTTTAGAAAATAATAAATTTAACAATTTATAAAAGTGTCACGTGTCATATTCTGAGTGATTGACGGAATATTTTTAAACTTATATTAGGATAAGGGGATAATATCGTAAGTGGATGTTGAAGTTATCTATAGGGGGAAAGTGTAGCAGCCTTGGCCATTGGGGCGTAACAAGAAATCGTGGGGTAGCTCCATGATTGAAGGGGGGAATCTGTAGATAATGTAAAGGGCGTTGAAACTGAGGCTGAAGAGCTTTAAAAGATGGTCATGATTTGCTGCAGTTCAACTAGCTCTTCAGGTAATATTTTATAAAGCACATGGGGCTTTCAACATAGACATCCCCACAAGGATCCAAAGGGTTATCTTATACTCTCTATTCTTGGCGTTGACTAAAATGGCTAAGAGATTATTTGAACTCCAACCCTACAAATCAATTAAAGGTGGAGGCCCAATTTCTTGAGAGTAAGATTCTGGGTCCATGCGCCCAATTCTGTTTGATCCATCTCACTCCTATAATACCCTAAGGGGGTGTTTGATTCAAGGATTGTAAGATTTTCATGGGATGAGAATCTCATATTCCCATGTTTGGTTGACCGGGAATCTCATTCCCGGTAATGTTTTATTATCAATAGTAGATTTTTTGGAGTATATTACTGGGAATGTCATTACCTCCATTCCCTTAGGTATTGTAACATTACCGGCGTTTTAGACTAAAATGCCCTTAAATTTTTATTTTTTTTCAAAAATATCATTCTTCTGTCTTTGAATAATAAAAATTCTACGAAGGTTAAATTACAAATTTATCCTTAAATTATTTTAGATTTACAAAAAAGGTGTCTATAATTAAAAATTTTATATGAAGTTCAGAGGTTAAAAAATTTACCCTTTCATTAAACCTTTTTTATATTTTTATTTTGTAAAAAAATTATATAAATATTATGAATTTAATTTTTTAAATAAAATATATAAATATTTTACAATTTGTAATTTTATACAAATATATAATAAGGACAATTTGGTCAAATATACATTTCAATAATCTTTTATTCCTTTAACCAAACACGGTAATCTTACATTCCTGCTAAACCAACCAAACACAAAATACAACATTCTCAATAATCCTATTCACTGGTAATCTTTTATTCCCACTGGTAATCTTACATTCCGTGAACCAAACGCACCCTAAATTCGTTTACAAATAGTGCTCATAGATTTTAGGTTCACTACATAAATTAACACTTAAATTTAATAACCGATATCTATTTTTTAAAAGTAATATTTAAATGGATAAAGCACACAAATGGTCTTCTGACTATAAGATAATTCTTTGTTGAGTCTCTCAACTATTGAAACTTACAAAATGGTCCTCTTACCATTGGGAGTTGCTTTGTTAGGTCCCTCAACTATTAAAAGTTATAAAATGTTTATCCGACTATTCATTATGTTTCAAACTTATCCTTTTCCGTTAAAAAATTAAATACAATATGAGTTGTACGTTAACCTACTGACTGAGATATGATAAAATATGATCTCATAATCTCAAACAATTATCATATTTCAATCAACATGTTAAAGTCTAAGCTCAGAAGACAATTAAAATTTTAATGGAATAGGACGAGTTTGGAACATAATGAATAGTCGGATGATCATTTTCTAACTTTTAATAGTTGAGGGACTCGACAAAGCAACTCCTTATAATCAAATAATCATTTTATAATTTTTAATTATCGAGGACTCAACATAACAATATTCTATAGTCAAATGACTATTTCGGTAATTTACTCTATTTAAATTTAGAAATAATTATTAAATTGATACATTTATTGACTTAATACTTTCATAGTCAATCAAATTATTATTACGATATTGATTGATAAAAAAGACAACGGAATTAAATATCATATATCACAACTTAATTAACTGTTAAAATCTACATCTAACATCATATATTAATTTATTTTATTTTCAAAGTATGATTGGTATATATATATATATAGTAAGCTTAGATTTTACAACAACACTTACGGGACAGCCATGAAAATAACATGGCAGCTTCTAGCCTTTTAGATCCTTCTATATCAGCTCTCGAGACGACGTCTTTTAGAACCTTCAAAGTAACTCGTATTTTTCGCCCCCGGGGGGTTAATAATTGATTTTAAATATTTTTATCTCAAAATTTTAAACTTTAAGCTCCCAAATTTTATGATTTTATATTTTAGTCTAACACAAATTCCTGACTTGGTCCCTGTAAACTTATATGTTGCTCATTACTAATTTTCCCAAATGGAGGAATTTCATAATCATCCTCTATTGTATCCCAAGTGTGAAGAGCTTGTAAATGAACCGATCATCCTCTATTTCATAATCTTTCCGTTTAGAATAACATTAAAACAACTCTTTTCCCTTAATTTCATTCATTAGTTTGAAACTATATATATAGTTAGATGTATAATAATTATTTGTTTAATAATAGTAGATATAATGAATCATTATTTGTATAAGAATATATATTCATTATAAGATAATTCTATTAAGATAATCCCATTTGTTGGAAGATATTATATTCAAGTGGGGAAAAAAAGTTAATATTCTTCATTCTAATGAACCCGATAAGCCAACTACGTGTTAGATTCCAAATATTGTCACGAAATAAGCATTTTTGTATCCTAACAAGCAATCCGAACCGTCCAGCTGTTAATTTCTTGATGTCTCCCGAAATGTACACGTCTTCTTCATAAATGTTGAAGCATTGCTTTTGCTCCAGGTTCCTTGTATATTTGTAGTAATATTGAATTCCGATTGAACGGGAAAGCACTCTCGGTAATGTATAATTCATCGACACTTAATCCAACACGTGTCGGTAATGATGAAGCATCTTCGAATCATTAAGCTTCAAACCAGTGATTTAAATAGCGCTTGCGGCCGCGTTTTCGGTCGCGTCGCGTTTATCGCGTTTACGGACATAACGTATGCCATCGCGGTCACTATAGGTGTTGCGATTGTGAATTTTTTTTAAATTTCACACAACTTATCCTAAAAAAATAATAATTATAATTATTATTATAAGGAGACATTTTTTATGATTTTTAGAATGCTTCAATTTCAATAAAATTTGAAATTTATATATACATAAAGTTTAAAAAAATTAATGTATTATTGAATTTGAATTATTATTTAATTACATTAGTTTAACATGATAATAAAATGTAATAGAATATAAAAATGAAGGTTGAAATGTTGAATGGAATTTGAATAAACTTAAAGAACACAAAATAACTAAATTAAATATAATTAAAATAAAAGTATAAAATTTAAATTGTAGAAATTTAAATTACTGAAATTAGGACTAAATTAAAAAAAATTAAAGCTTACATTCTAAAGTTAGGATTAAATTATAAAATTTTAAAGGTGAGAGGATGACAAATTAATATATCCCTTGAAAATATATTTTAAAATTTATTAATTTTTTTTTTTAAAAATCTATATTTTTCTTGAATTGAAAACCATATTTTAATATGTTAAGAAAAGTCCAAATGTGGACCATCTCAAAAACTTCTTTGAGCGTCGATCATATTCAACGGTAATGGCCACCGTGCAATGATAAACACGTGTAATTAAAGAAAAAATCATCTATTCTCTTCTAAACTTAGATCTAGGGATTGTTTACCTTTGTATTTTGGGTGAACGTTTCAGTTTTTTAAAGTTTTTTCGGGTAATTGTAGAATAACGCTATTAACATCCTAATATTGGTGTTATACACCTTTACCTGTTAAATTACGGGCGCGACGGACCGCTATCGATGTGCATCCGTTATCCACGGTTAAAATCTTCAATATCGATTTTGGACGGCGACGCAACCGCAAAATAGTGGCCGCTATAGCATTTGTATTCTGCTATTTAAAACCCTGCTTCAAACATAAGCTCACTTCATATCTCTTTCACTCTTATTTTTATCTATAAAACCTCTCATGTATCTTCTAAACTCATCGCATCGAATCCCCTTCAAAACATAAATAACTTTCTCTCTAGTTCTCCAGTCTCGACTTCATCATGTCAAGAGTTCCCGACCCACTAACCGTTGGAAGAGTTATAGGAGAAGTGGTGGACAACTTCACCCCAAGTGTTCAAATGGATGTAACTTACAACACCAACAAACAACTCGCCAATGGCCATGAGCTTATGCCTCCAGTCATCGCTGCTCGACCTCGGGTCAATATCGGCGGTGACGATTTGAGAGCTGCTTTCACATTAGTAAGTCCCACCAAAAAAAACCCTAGCACTGTACGGTTATATATGCATTTTTTTTATCTTCTTTTCTACCTTTGAAGATCATGACAGATCTTGATGCTCCAAGCCCTAGTAACCCCTTCTTGAGAGAACACTTGCTCTGGTTTGCATCAATATCAACTCTATCTTTCTCTCTCTCTCTCTCTCTCTCTCTATATATATATATATATACATATATTCTTCAATATGTATATATAGTTACATATAAAGTCAGTGATTTCTAAAACGTATTCCATTCACATATGTTTGTGTTGCAGGATGGTGACTGACATCCCTGGTATTACCGATGCTTCATTTGGTGAGTTTTAAAATATGCATTTGTACTTTTTATCCTATAAAACCTGTAGACACTCGTTTTTGTTCGGGTCTTTATTTTATTTTTAATTTATTATTATTATTATTATTATTATTATTATTATTATTATTATTTTGAAATTTACATATTACAATTTTGCAGGCCTTGAAGCCCAAATTACAAAAGCCCAAGACCTAGTCTACCCAGCCTACTCAGACAGGCCCAAACAAAGGACCCAACTCAGCTAGGGTTTCACCCTATTCTCCCTAGCCGCCTTTAACACCAGCTGTTAGATCTGGAGAAAGATTAACGGCCCACAAGTAACCCAGATTAGGGTTTTAACCCTAAATGATATCAAGCTACCGCCGTCTTTTAGCCTCCCAGCCGAGTGAATGCCGCCATCGACCCCAAGTCGCGTCATTGACTCCCAAGCCGCCGACGAACATCTCATCGTCCAGTTTTGTCATCAACAGTGACACCAAACCCATCAAACAGTAACATGTAGCAAATCAAGTCAGAAAACAGAGATAGAAATCAAAACAAATCTTATCATATATTATAGGGTATCATTCCCCTACCAATCACTCAAATCCATCAACAAATCAACATGCAAAGCAAGATAAAAGGAAAAAAAGAAAAGATAGAGAGGGCATTCGGGTTCAGGGGGAGGAACGAAAAAACCAGAAAAAAAAAACAAGGAAAAAGAGAACTACTCGAACCAAACAAGAAAATACAAAACCAAGGAGAAAAATAAAGAGAGGGGGTTCTTACTTTGGTTCGAGGCCGTGGAATCCATAAGGTCGCTGGAGCCGCCATTTCCCGAGAGGTAAACCCTCTAGATTCGTGGCTTTAGGGGATGTTTTAGGCTAAGGGGAGTCGGGTTTCGAGATGAGAGTAAGGAGAGAATGCTTTTGAGGTGATTTCCTCTCTCCAACCACCGCCGGCCACCGTGAACTCCGCCTTGAGTTCCGCCGGTGGCCATTGCTTCTTCTCTCTGTGGAGGAGAGAGTTGAGAGCGTTTGAAGCTCTCTCTCCCCTCACTCGGTTTGAAACCGATGCAAATGAAAGGGGATGGCCTTTTGGCCTTTAAATTATATATATATATATATATAACGCAAAACGCAGTCGTTTTGGGCACCATATTCCCGTGTTTTCTGAGTTTTAAGGGGCTAATGGCATATTTAGTCCCTACAGGTTAAGAAACTCACCCGTGTTTCTCATATTTTTAGGGTAAATCGCACTATAGGTCCCCGTGTATTTGTAACATTCTATTGTAGCCATTAAATGAAAAGTTATGTTATCCTATTTCAAGTCTTTACTTTTCGATCGTTTATATTATAGTCCCTAGATGACTCGTTTTCTTAGTTTGTTTTGATATGGACATTATGTTTTATCTTGTTTCAATTTGGTCAATATGTATATTATTTTGCTTATTATGAATTTAACTACTGATTTTATTCTTTTTTATTTTAGTCACCGATTGATTCTTTTTATTTTATTTTATGATTCTGATATTGTATTTTAGATTTATGCATTTTAGTCACTTGTCTATAAAGTTTATTTATTTTATGTTATTTGTATGTCATATTTTCATGTATATATTTTAACATATGCTATAATATTTATGTACATATATCATGTTTCAAATATACTTATACATATACTAATTTATTTTTATTTTATTTCATACACATGTTGTATCATATACAATTATATACTTATTAATTAAATTTAATTTTTGCCTTTGTATATTCATGTATGAAAATGTATTATTAATGTTTATTCCATTTTATTCAATGTGATTACATATGACTAATTTGTAAAATATCTAATTGCCAACATTTTATGTTATTTATTCGAGTTTTTCAAGAACATTCGTCGTAAAATGGGTGTGAAAAGTATCACCTTACGGAGGAGGTGCGATTCAATACAACATTCAAACGAAAGGAAAATTTGAAATAAATCAATTTATGTTTTACTAATTAATTTGTTTCTATTGTAATTCAAATGATGCAATGAGTATTGTTGTAAATAACAATTTATTTTATTTCATACAAGTTGTCCGTATTTAATTTATATTCAATTTGTATTTTTTAATAGATGAGGAAATATTTTTTACGGATAAGAAATAGACGAGATAACTTTCCCGATGGAGGATTGTTAATCTCGAAGTTTCTTTTCAAGTTAAAGAATTTTTCCTAATTAAATAATTCAAAGCAAATTAATTAATTTCGATAAATGAATCATATTTTAATTGTCGATGTGAATTCATTATTTTCACTATTTACGACAACGTGTAAGCGACACAGTACCAATTTTTGGGCGTTGTGGGGGTGCTAATCTTTCCCCATATGTAACCGACTCCTGAACCCGTTTTAAATCGAATCTTTGGTTACAGACCAATTTTTGTCTTATAAAAATGATTTTCCTTAAAATTGTTTCTAAAAGACGTTTTTAGGTTATTCGACCTACCTAACCCAAATGTTGATGGCGACTCCTTTCAATTTAATTATAATTAATCCAAAATCACCTAATTTATTCAAATTAAAGTCATAATCGTTTTTTAAAATAATATTTATTTGTTTTACGAAAAATGGTTATGACATTATATAGTTACATATAAAGTCAGTGATTTCTAAAACGTATTCCATTCACGTATGTTTGTGTTGCAGGATGGTGACCGACATCCCTGGTATTACCGATGCTTCATTTGGTGAGTTTCAAAATATGCATTTGTACTTTTTATCCTATAAAACCTACATAATTTCGGGGCTCAAATCGATTTTAAACGACGAGTGCAGGGAAGGAAGTTGTTAGCTACGAGAGCCCAAATCCGGCAGTCGGCATCCACAGATACATATTCGTACTGTTCAAACAGTTAGGAAGAAGAGCGGTGAGTCCACCGTCTTCGAGGGATTACTTCAACACCAGAAGGTTCTCAATCGAGAACGGTTTGGGCCTCCCAGTGGAAGCGGTGTACTTCAATGCCCATAGAGAAACTGCCGCAAGAAGAAAATGACTATGGCAGGCGGCATCCGTGGTCCATAGTCCATACATAATAATATATAGATATATAAATACAGATCAGAAAAAGGAAGAAAAAATTACTAATATTAAGAATTAAACATTATAGATCTCTCCTGGATTTAGGATTTGACACGTATGTTTCCTGTGAGATTATTTTACAAATATATAAGAATCAATCTTGTACGCTGTTGTCTGCTAGGTTCGGTGACAGTCATTATGTAAGAACTAGGTTTCGATTCTGCCTGTCTGCTTTCAGATATAATGCTCAAATGCAGATTTTGTCGCGTTACTGCCTTGTGGGTGCCATTGTATTTTCTGATAAGTATTTACTTTAAATTTGATATTAGTGTGAATTAAACACTTATTATTATTATTAAACCCAAAGGTATTCTTATTTTTCAATGCTAATAAAGTTCACTTTGAGCTCCATTGCTACCAATTAAAGCAAAAACAGACAAGATTAAAACCATGACCTTATTTCTACCCATTATGCAGGACTGTTTTGCACATCGGTCCATCAAGCACAAGTGAGTGGTGGGATATTGCATTGAGAAGGCAGTCGGGAGGCGATCTGGAGAGTGCTGCAGAGGCAGTCATGGTGCACTGATTGGAGCGCATTGCAGCAGTCAATGCTCGGGGCGGTCACGGCCGCACCAGGCACCACGAACGGTGCGCACACGTTCAGGCTCGTCAGCTCGGTCGGGCAGCTTTGTGACTCTGCCGTCTGGCTCTGCAGCACCGCCGTTGCAACCACCAACATGAGTAGCGCTGCAGCGGAGGAATGCGAACTGAGAGATATCTGTGACTTGAGACTTACCATGATTTATGATCTCTATTGATGTCTTGATCAGTTGTGAGATTTATCCAATGAGATCTTAGAGTATTTATAGTTGGAAAAATTAGATGTTGATTGTGTGAGTTACCTGTCTTAAGGTTTTTAGCACATCATAACTTTGTTCATTTCAGAACAGTTGAAGGATTCATTTCTCGTGTATGTATAACTTGGAACGAATTTTACAGTCTTTTTCACATATATTATATATGGTGTAAATATACATCAGTTATATATACAAAAATATATTGATATAAAATATAAATAATAAGACTATTAATTATGTTTAATAATTTAATTTAATAACTATATTAATTTTTAAACATAATTAAAATAATTAAGAAAAATAATATTTTAAAAATCAATTTAAAATATTAAAATTTATTCTAATCAATTAAGATGAATCTTCAAAGATCTATATCAATATTACCAACATGGATTTGTTCAAGTGTTAAGCAGTCTGATATCACTTAAGCAAGGCCTCGAGTTCAAGTTCTTGTAGAGGTGTGCCGCTAAAAAAAAATTCTATATCAATATTAATCAAAATGAATTAAGATTTGAGAGATACCAAAGTTTTGATCAAACTAAACTTAAATATTTATACGGATTTAAAATTAATATGTACAAGATCTAAGTATGATATTATAATCATGTTTATACCTCTATGTATTAAAACAATCCTATAGATTTCTTTTAATAAGCTTTTTATAACAACAAAGCACATATGCACCATTACAAAACAATCCTCCAGCCAATACTAAAGAGAAATCCCCACCTAAAGCAAAGCATTACATTCATAGAGTCTCCCCTGTCAGCGCATCTGCCTTGTACTCTAATGTCAATCACCCTTTTAGTAGCATCCAATATATCATTATAATCTCTATGAGATCTATCAAACAATCTAGCATTTATCTCCTCCCAAACACAATAAATAAATGCATTCCAAGCCAATTTAAAGATAAAAACAATCAAGGGCTTACCTCACAAATGACCAATCATGTAACCCCCTCAGACCGATACGGATAACCCGATCCGATCTGGAGTGTCACATTAGGGCCACTGGAGCGACCCACTATAAAAATAGCGGAAAATTTAAAACTTTTTATCAGAACATTTAACTCATAAAATGATTTATCAGTATACAGAAAAAAATAAAATATAGATTTTCAGACTCGTACATAAAACAAAATTCAATTACATGCCTCCTAATCACATGTATCATTCTCTGGAAACAACGCCGGAAGAATTCCTTTACTGATGTCGATAACTGCACTGGTACAATTCTTTTAACCTGCAATGGTGAGTAATAGAGTGAGCTTCAGAAAGCTCAGTAATACAGAACTACCAGATGATGCTGAAAAACGTGCAAATACAGATAAACATATTTCCTTATTGGTTCAGATATTTACAGATCTTTATGTTGAGCTGAGATCCATTGATATCGCATGTAGTAACAAATAGTATTCATTTCAGATGGAAATATTTCGGATGTCTAGGTTCAGGAGATCGGAACAGGTTTTCTAGTGTGTTCCCAAAAATCATGTAACTTTTCAGATCTTTTTAAAAACATATATATATACCCCCATCCGTCAAGTCCAAAATGTGTAGGTTCCCCAGAACCATACACCCACCGTCAAGTCCAGTAGGCCCTGAGCACACAGCCGAGGAGCCGGTAAGTAAGGCCCTGAGCACACAGCCGAGGAGCCTCCAGGTATACTTCCTCCAACATTACCCCCCAAGTAAAATATGTTCCGTCCGTAAACGGATATATCAAAAATCATAAAATAATCCAGGTCAAGTATCAGATCAAAATCCATGTCAAGTATTCAATCAGAATCCAGGTCAAGTATCCGATCAGAATCAAGGTCAGGTATTATAATAGAAATCAAATCGGAAATCAGGTAAAATATCCAGGTGATTAGGGAACACACCAGAGTTTACAGAAATTATTCAGAGGTACTGGATAATCTTAGCAGGTAAAGGAACACAGATCTTCAGTATACCGATAGAATATCGGGAATTCAGAATCACTATTGGAAGAGTTGAATAACTGACAAAATCATCAATTATTCAGAATATGACTTGAGCTGGTAAGGAAGAAATGAAGGTTCAGGATATTTACAATCTATGTCGATTGATCGGATTATCAAGCAACTCTTAGATGAATAACTCCCAAAACTAATGCTTGTCGATTGATCAATTCATTGTTCTTCCATGGTATTTACTCTTTAATACCACAAATTCTTGTTCATAGATCATTTTCGGAATCATCACTGAATAGATCTTCCAATGTCTTCATTTCATTTTCACGCTCCCGCAAAATCATGTAATATTGACGTACTTTATTGTTTTAATTATAAACCATCGTAATTGTACACTATGTAAACTCATCAGAGTTTTCAGACTTATCCAAATCACTTACTAAATCCTCAGTCATTGAGGTTACCTAATTCATTTAGCAGTCATGTCCATTTCCGTAATATTCGAGGTTTTTCAGGGTAATCCAGATGTTTCTGAATTTCGGATACATATTGTACTTTCGTTCAATTCAATTTGGTCTTCGTGGTCGATTTGTCTAACAAAGATCAAATCCTTACTACTGAATGCGTTCTAGAGTTGAGTTGAGCTGAATACTTCAAAAACTATCATCGAGCCAAACTCGAAAAGACGAACACGTATTCCAATAATATCTATGTCGTTCAGGTATTGACATAGCTTTAGGGTTGATCCACTCACTTAAATTATGTTCCATTACTTTTAAAGGTAGTCCAATACCTATGCTTATTTGGATTCCTTAATTAATCCAAGACATTTACTTATTCTAGGTCATAAGGTATTTTGGTAATTTTGGTGTTCAGTTTTATTCCATTCATTTCATCGCTCGAGGATATCCAATCATTCTTGAGCTTGGTGGTATTCTTGGGTCATTTCTATTACAGGGGTATTTTGGTCATTTTACAGATTCGGTGTATTTTAATCCTTTCTTCCGTCCGATCTTACTATTAAATTCAATCTTATCATTTATTTCAGTCATTTCGAATAATTCTGATAGCAGAATACCCCCAATAAATTATTCTTCAGGTATTTACTCATTACTCGAATATTTTATGTACAAAGACAAATCTTAATAATTAAATTCTTACTTAATCGAGTTAAGTACAAATCCTCAAAATACTTTCTCATTCAGGGTCAACTCAGACTATTTTATCTCTCAAGGGCATTTTTGTAATTTCTTAACCAGATAATTTTGGTATTACCTCGTAACAAAAATAATTATAATTAGAGATCCTATGATTAATTGCTTTCTTGAACACTTTCTGATCTTGAAATGATTCCCTTAACAGACTTATAGTATCCTTCACAAACCCTCAAATGATTAAAAACCGGTTATCCATAATTTCCAAGTAAAACTAACATTTCTTATGCACATCAATATTTTTATCAGATCAATATGTCTGTAAAAACCTCTTATTCAACTTCCATATTCAAATCTTGTCTTTTTATAACATAACGGTATTTTCGTAATTTTACCCTACCGGAGTATTCTCATAATTTCGCTTCCAAGTACCTTTAACATTTAACCTTTGATGAAATAAATTATAAATTACATGTCAAGGCTGATTTCTTTATCACTAAGCACATAACTTGTAATTTAATTCTAATAATCTCTCAATCTCCTATATTAATCATCTGAACCATAATCAGTTGCCAAATTTCTACTGTGTTCGGATCGAGTGTAGAAATTAATTACTACACAATTGAGAGCAACATTATCTTATTCATGCATTTACCAATATTCACATGTTCCATAAAGCATAAAGAGGTAGTAAGTATTACCTCGATTTCCGTGCAATATTGATCGACCATTAAATTCCATTCGAACGCCCTTGATCTTGAAATCATCTTCCAATTTCCTCGGATCCATATCAACATAAATTACATCAAAAACGGAGCTTAATTGCGACAAACGAATCGAATCGGGTGATAAATCAGTCAAAAACAGCTTACCAGGTTCGAATTTGGCGAAACGGACTTCGGATTCAGGACGTCAAAAACATAAAATATGACTTTTCGAAAATTTGGAATTTTCGATCAAAATCTAAGTCAACGGGTTTGACTGGCAATTTTGAGGCCTTCGGTTCCGAATTTCGAAAAACGGACTGCGAAATCGGATTTGGAACGTCGAAAAACGTTAGGATATGTATACTTGGTCAAAGTCAAAGGTCGTTTAATGCCTGGTCAACGCCGGTCAAAGTTTTGGTCAACTGTGGTCAACGCCGGTCTGTCAACACATGAACAGTAAACATTCGACCATTTTACACAAATATCACCCTAACGGAAATTAATTACCAAATCAGCCACATTATGCAAATATTTACTAAACTAACACCCGAATTTTACACAAATAGCACCCAAACATAAATTAATTACTAAATTATCACCCAGACGATGCCTACTCTCGGGGGTGGCGCGTGAACAGTGATACGGTGTCAGAAAATTCCCATAAAAATTCCTAAAAATTATTTTAAACGATTTTAAGACACTTACAAAGCTCGGTTCATAATTTTGAACGGCGGAGAGCTCGATTTCAACAAATCATAAACTTTGACCGCTTCACCTCCTCACGCACCGCCGTCGGCGGAGACTAAGGATGACACCGGCGAACTCGGAATGATGCAAGGAACACAATGGTGCGGGAGGTGTCGTAAACGGATCATCGGATCGTCGTGAATCGATGAAAAACCAATTGAAATTGAGTTATTACCGACGATACTTACGACTGAAATTAACGACGATTGAAGACGATTCACGATGAAAGGTTTGAGGGCTTTTGTTCCTCGGTTGACAACGAACACGATGGTGGTTTCGGTTCATCGATCGGAGGTCGGACGACGAATAGATCGGAGATTGAAGTAGGATGAACGGGGGAGGGAAACTTGGAAATAATCTGCAGAACACACGGGAAATGGGTTTAAAATATCTCCAAAAGAAAAATGGTTAAACTATGAGTTTAGCCACTAAATTTCCTACACTTCATAAAACAGTCTGTCAACTTAGAAATTTTAGAATTAAATCCACCGTTTCTTTCAAAATACAAATTAAATTCACCACTTTATAATTTCTTACTTTTAGCCCCTAAATTGGGGTGTTACAAATCATTCAATCTATCTCCTCCTCCCAATATTCAGCACCCCTCATTATACCACAAATTCTCCAAATAGAAACCTAAATTTTCCTCGAGAAGGAGCACTCAAAGAATAAGCAATCCTTGCTTTCAGCTGCAGTTCCACACAATAGTCATTGATCATTCTCATCTGCAACAATCTATCCTTAGTTGCAAGTCTCCCCAAGATGACAACTCATGCAATGATAACATGTTTGGGTATGTGAATCTTATGCCAAGTCACTTTAAAGTATTTCAAATGGAGCTCCGACCAAAACCACTTTGCTTTAACCTTATTCAACACACAGTCAATGAGAATAGAAGAAGAGCTTCATCTCTCAATTTCAATAATTTCCTGAAGCACCAAATAATTTTTTTTTTGGATAAGTAAAATTTTATTCATCTAAAGAAAGCAGCAGGGCTGCTACAAAGAACAATATGACTACAATATCAGCCCCAATTGAGGCACAACTGACTATTTACAGCATCAGACCTATTCATATGACATCTATGAAGCTTGATTCTATCAGTCTCACTAATTCTATTTACAATTAAGTCAGTCGAGCGAGTCACTCCTCTAAAACATCTGTGATTTCGCTCCTCCCAGATAAAGTAGACAAAACTAGTCCAAGCTAACTTGAGAATATAAATCAAGAGGGATTTACCTTTAAAGTTCAGGACCATCCAGCGTATAGCATCATCCCAGCAACTCGACAGTTGGTAATGCAAACCACAAAAGTTCATAATGGAGCGCCAAACCTCACAAGAATAGGAATATTCCAGGAACAGATGGTTACGAGTTTCCTGACTAGCCCCACCCAGACCACATAGATTGTCAGTCATAATACCAAAACGCCCAAGTCTGTCCTTTGTTGTCAGTCTATCCAGCATCACCATCCAAGCAACCACAGAGAATTTAGGAACATGAGCTGGGAACCAGATCAGCCGATGCCAGTCAACCTTTTCTCTCCTTTGTCTAATATTTTCCCAAATCCAACTGCCCTTAATCTGTGACAGATTGGCAATAGAACAAAAAAGTCTTCTAGCTTCCTCTCTCATTTTGATCAGCTTGCGGAGAGTCCAACTGAATTGAGCTTTACTATCAACCTCCCAGTAGTGTACTGATTTAAAATTGATTTTGTTTTCCATTTGCAAACAATCTTAAAGATTATAGGATGACATATGTCCATTTTATGCTTAATGTATTTTATGATCTAAATATTATAATTTTACTTCGCACATTTTTTTATGAAAAAATAAATTAGGATGATATTCATTATTATTGAAAAATTTAAGGGTTAAATTGAATAAAAAATATCTTTAAACATCAAAGTGATAATAAGATATAAGTGCAAGGGGAAAAGTACCATTAATCCTCTTTTAAATCGGCTGTGATTTAGAACTCTATAACATAAACCCTTCTTTATTTAGGGCTTTACAATTACAGCGAGGAAGCACCGAAGTGAAGCTTTGACCAAAAGCCTGCGACAATCCAGACACTCTAAGCTTTCTTTGGGAAGAACCTACAATGGCGGACGAAGACTATAATGACATGGACATGGGGTTCTCTCTTTTTTCACTAATATGCTCTTCTATTTTGTGTTTATGTAGTCAATTCGATAATCTTTATACTTGTTGCTGTTGAAAATGGGATAAACAAAGCAAATCCATGATTTGGGTTTTTTTTAGTGTTTGCTCATCAATTACCAATTTGTTGTATTTTTCTGTTTAAAATCAGGACATGAGAACGAACCCTAATTTTTCTAAACAACCAAACAGAGGGGCAGATTATTTATCTTATCTCGGTTTCGGTTTTTCTTTTCTTCAAAATTGAAATCTTTTTGTGTTTCTTTTTGCTTCTCAATAACTTAACCCTGGATTGTTGAAATTGTTGCTGTAGATATGAGGATGAGCCACCAGAGCCTGAGATTGAAGTAAGTTTTTTTAACATTGTTGGCTGTAAGAAGTTTAATGTAATTGCTGAAGTTACTTACCGAATTTTCTGTATGGTCAGGAAGGACCAGAGGAGGATTTGGAAAACCCTAACAATGATGATGTTCCTTTGGAACCTATTGAAACCGATGACATCGGAGGCCAAGAAGCTAAAGACAAAACTACTCGCAAAACATCAAAGTACATGACTAAATACGAGCGTGCTAGAATCTTGGGTACCCGAGCCCTGCAAATCAGGTTAGCTTAGTATAACTTTAGATTCTTTCTTATTTGTTTTATGATATGCTTCAATAACTCTATTTATGTTGTTTGTCCCTACTAGTATGAATGCTCCTGTTATGGTCGAGTTGGAGGGCGAGACTGACCCGCTAGAGGTATGATTATGTTTATTGCATTTTGTGTTGATTCAACAAGAAAATTTGATGGTGTTGTAGCTTAGCCTGGTATAAAGATACGAGACCACCACTTTACTCACCTATTTTGACAATACATGTTTTGAATATCACAATATGCGTAAAACGGACTCTATTTGGTTCTGTTCTTTCATTTTTGAAGGAAGTTTTCGGATTGTATACAGGGTATGGGACTCTAGGTGCATGTTTTGTTTGGTGTCTGATATATATACATACATAAGCAAACGTGTTCTATCATAATTTAACAACCAGATAAGAAACCTTGTGAGAGTTTCTTTATTTGTCACAAACGTTTTAATCTATCTTCTTTACTTAATCTGCTTCGTACCAACATCCCATGCTTGACCTTGAATATCTTAAACTCGTAAGCAATTTGTTTACGCCTTTATGGTCAACTTTCTATAATCTATATCGATCTGTATATTACATGACCAGTGCCAGTTACACTGATATTATGTTTCTTTTCTTTGCTCTAAACTCTCGTATTTTGCATTTATATTAGATTGCCATGAAGGAGCTTCGAGAGCGGAAAATACCCTTCACCATACGCCGCTACTTGCCCGATGGAAGGTGAGATTTTGTTTCTAGATTTCTATATGTTAAACAATGGGGACCATGATCATGTCTTGATTTACTAGTTTTCCTTTTATCATTTCTAGCCGATTAACATTTGACATATCATTTCAGTTATGAAGACTGGGGAGTTGATGAGTTGATTGTCGAAGACTCATGGAAGAGACAAGTTGGAGGCGATTGATTACTTGTCGATCGAGTGTGTGATTGTGGTCTGTAAGAGTTATAACGCTGAGATTTGGTCTAGTAATGTAAAGAGACTTATCTAGAATGACGCCTTTCAAACCTATGTTAGTTGACTCGTTTGAAGCCCTGTTCTCCTTTTGGTTTCGAACGGCAAGAATGTAGCCTTCAAAAGGCACTTGGCCATTGAAATTTGTTAGGAACTTGGTTGTTTTGCATATAATTGTTAGGTTTCCCTTCCTATTGTGCCCAACTCACTCATGAGATCGTGAAATTAATATGCATTGATGAAAACTGATGCCAAAATTTCAATAATTTGTATTAAATTGCAAATTAAATAGGTTGTTAAGAAAATGACATGGGTTCTGGTTCTGTAATGAAAGTCCCATGCCAGCTTTGGAGTTGAGATGATCTACTACCATTAATTACGTTATTTATCATAAAATATGTATGTATTGTTTTTATCATCTTTGTATACATGAGCAACCATTTGCATTTTGCTTGAAGCCTTTGACATTTACGAAAATCTAGTAAAATACCTTATAGATTGAGGTTTATCATGATATCGTATGTTTGGTTCCTTTCTTGTTCCATTGGATCTACCAACACTAGCTATGAAACTTCATGATGAGACTCATCCTTGCTAATAAAGTCTGGTTGTTGTGGTGAAATCTATGCACTTTTGCCTCAACTTCAACTACCATTGGCTGCCCTCCACACCGTAATTATCCTTCTAGCTCCCTCTCCCACACTAACGTAGGTGCTTACCCAATAGGCTCAAAATCATGTACAAATTATGTTGTTCATACATTTTTGTTATGAAATATTTGTATCTGATATTTCAATACGAGGATATAAATTTTAAATATTATTTCGTTATAGAAAAAAAAATATTTATATTTATGTTGAATACGACACATTTAAATCCGAATAACATAAATAAATAAATAAAAATGTGTGAAGATTGTCGAGAGAGAAAGGAGCGGCAGGCAAGCGCTTGACTTGGAAGACAAACAACGTGTGATTCTTGGGGTTGCTTGTGAGCCATGGCATTACCTATTTCCCTATGCCTCTTTGATTCCAAAGCACAGTGAGCAGTTCCATTTTTAGCTACCTTTATTTATCTTATTTATATTGTCGACACATACGGACTATATCATGGAAGGGATTGAAATAATAATAGATGAAATTATTTCATCATAATTATATTATCATTATTGATTGAATATTATACACGTTAGGTCAACATTAGTGCAGGTACCGATATATATCTGTTATAATTATATATATATATATATATATATATATATATATATCTTTATTATATGATTAATTAGTAGTTAGATATTCATTTTCGAAATTAATATAATTAAGTTACACTATAGAGACCTTCTACCATCCCAATATCTTTTTCATTCTTTGAAATTCAATTAAAATAATGATAATTAAACATGCGAAAAATGAGCGTTTGCTTAAGAAAAACAATGAAGTTTTATATGCTAAAAAAACAACTAAACTTCTATATATAAAAAATATGCGAGGGGGAAATATAATTAAATTAATATTACTCATGTAAATGTATATATATATTACCTTTTATTTGAAAATAAGAATTTGAGTATGGTAAGGAACCAAAACCAAAACCAAAACATAAAACATTATAAAAATAAAATAAGATTGAATGATTAGAGAGTGGAATTTACAAGACATGCCATGCCGGGTGTTTGATCACGTTAGCTTGCTTTGTTTGGGGGGGGGGGGCGCTTCTAAAGCTCAACGGCTGTGATGTCCTCTATCGATTCGAAGGAGACCACACAACCACCATAAATACTTCAAAACATTTCAAAGCTAAACACCAAATGTCACCTCACCACAATGCCAAGCAATCCCAAATTATATGAAATCATATATGTCAATTATCAATTTGTGTGTGTGTATATATATATATATATTTGAAGAAGGGTTTATTTTAATTATCGCCCCCACATGGACCAAAAGTCTCACATAAATGTTAGGAACAAATGCTTTTGGTCATCCCATTACCCCAAATTTTATATGCCATTTGGTCGGTATCTTGTCCCCTATTAAATGTGACCCAAATGCACTATTTATTATACCCACAAATTTATAAATATTGTTACATTTGTTAGTTTTACCAAATTTTATATGCCACTTGGTCGGTTTGTTATTCCCAATGCCTCTGTATTCAAATACATTCAGAGATACCTATCGCTCTGTTAATTTAATTTGTAAAATATATAATTTTTTGGGTATAAATAAATAAATTTAATTATATAAAATAAAAACGATCGAATGTTTATAAAAACAAATAGTTATCGAATTTAAACTTAACGAATATCCTTTTAAAGTTTAAACAAATAAATACAACAACAAAAAACAAGAAGCGGCCGTCTTCAAGTGCTCTATGCGACCGGCTTGGAGAACATCACTTATCCATCCCACGCGTCCGTCACACGCATGGGGTAGCGTCGGTGGTGGACGGTTTTATGATATTTTTATGCTTGAACAAGTGATACATCTATGACTTGCAGATCTGCCTACGACCAAACTACTTAATTTGGATTTGTTATAAGTTTTTCACTTGCGTATGAAGCCAATGAGATTTGGTCTAACTCTTGTTGTTGTTGTAGTAAATGACAAGGCAACCCTCCCGGGAATTTAGTTATGAATTTATAAATATTTTTTAAGGTGAATACTTATATATTAATAAAGTTTAATGTAGAAGTAAATGTTTGAATTATACTTAAAGTTAATTTTAAGTGTCTACTTTTTCAACGTTACAGTTATAGGAGTTTAGATTGTTAACACCGTTACATTCGACCGTTAAATGACACGTGCTAGACATATAAAATTTCAAACTTTTTAAATAATTTTTTTAAATTTTTATAAGTCTTACATGTGTCACTTAACGGTTGAATTTAAAGACATACACTTAAAAGTGTAACGTCATATTGATACTTATTTTTAAAGAAAAATTCTTTAAGCACCTAAAGTTAATTTTGATATAGTTTGGACATTTAATTTTACATTAAGCCTATTAATAACAATTTTTCGTACAAGTTGAATACTAATAAATTTTTAGAATAAACTTCATAAATAAAATAAAAAATTAACATAAAAAAATTAAAATTTAAGACTACGTAATTACCTAAATAAGACCTACATCCGCCGCTGTAGGAATCCCTACTTCCAAATCCTTGTTTATTTTTTCCTGTTATGTCCTAAATAAATTACGGTTCATGGTAACATTATAGTTTTTTTTTTCAAGTATAAAAGTGTCACCCCTCAATTTTTATAAAATAATTATTTTATTTTGTATTTATTATTATTGATCGTTTCTCAACAATAAATTTTAAATTTGTTATCAATTTTATCAAAAGCATGTTTAATAACAATAATTCATTAAATATTTTTAAATATTACTTAAATTTTTTTAAACCAGTCTACAAAATTAATCACGGGTAACTCGACTCAATCATGTATTTAATTGTTTCCTTTCGTTTGACATCATCGGATGCGGCAGTAAATTAGTAATTATTTCTCACAGTAAATCGAGGATCTGTCAACGTGTGAGAAGTTACCTGAAAAAAATGGGTGGCTTGCTTTATTTGTGAATATAATACGTATGCCACGTGTCAAACATCCTATCCACATTTATAAAGACAATCCATCAAATGATCAATTCAATGATTGAAAATATCACGAAGTCCCCGATATGCCCTCAAGACCATAGGTGTGCGTCCGCAGCATTTATGGCCCTACTTCTATTAGTAAAACCGTGTTGCAGTGGGAATAGTACCCTAAGCACGAAGAATTTGGGAGGAGGTTTATTTACTTATTTTTCATTTTATTATATATTTTGACATTCGATATTTATTAAAATAATTATATGTTCATATAAAATTTATTTATTTTTGCACTAACCAAATATCCGATTAAGAGATTTTTAATTATTTTTAGAGATTTTAAGTTTAATCATGGCATATATTAAGATTATGAATGCTTATTGTCAAATGATTAAATATCTTTGAACAGACAATATTTTATATTTATCTCAGATTTATATAAAGATATTTTTTTACGTAAACATGTTATTTTTAAAATTAAATATTAAAATATAGTTATTTATTAAAATAACAAATTTTAATTGAAACTAAAAAATATATCAATGATTGGATGTTTTTATTTTATGTAACACCCAAATTTTAAAAAATACGCGATCGACAGAGTATGTTTTTATTAACATAGAAGATTTTATAAAATATGTAGCGAACGAAGTACATCTTTCATTTATTTTGGGTAGTACACATTTGTCAAAAGTTAAAATGAAAAAAATAAACAAAATAATAATAATTGAATTCGATCAAAAAAAATTGCAGTATGTGTTAAATATACGTATTAACACGAATCAAAACAACGGCACATATATAAATCTTATGTTCAATCACTCAATAAATATATACATGTTTTGAATATTATATTTATACACGACAAAACAAATATCTAACACAAGTTACCATCATCATCCTATTTAACGCATGCTAACACATACCTTGTGTATTTTTTTAAAAAAAAAACTTGTATATTTTCTCGCAGACTTTGTTTTTCCAATTTGATCCTATAATCAACACACCCTTCTAATAATTTTAATGTCATGTAATATATATTATATCAAACACGGATTTAAAAAATATGTAACTAACAATATATAGATGAAAAGTCGATTTTATTCTGTGCTCAAATTATTGATGAAAATTTTAAGTTAAATCATCAAAAATTTAATATATAAAATAAATTTAAAATAAATGCATTATTTGAAAAATAACATTTTTTTGCATAAGTTAAAATATATTTTCAATGATATAATGTAAATCTTAAACCTACTTTTTAGAAAAGAAAACATTACATGTGAATTTATAGAAATACGTAAAATGTAAAATATTAATAATATATATATATGCTGCATACATTACAATGTCTCAAGTCAGAACACAACAACTGCTTAGTTAGCTGTCCACTCGTTTTTTTATTCATTTTCCCTTGCTTTGTTTATTTAGTTATCCCCAGCAGTACCCCTGAGAATTTATTTTCTCTGGATTATCTTTTTCTCCAACTGCTTCACATTTGAATTTCTCCGGTAATTATCTCGGTGGGGAAATTCCAGATTCTCAAAGCGTCAATACATGCCTCCCAGTAAATTCCGAGCTATTTCGGGTACATTAATGCCGGAAGAGATCTGAGGTTAAGGTTTTGTTTTGTCATAGCCAGCGATCTGGGTGTTTGGTTTTCTTGCAGCGAAAGGATCGAAGGTGTTGTTCTGTTATTTTTCTTGCCTTTGGTAAGACGCCATTGGAAAGGGAAAAAAAAAGTAGAAAAAGGATACAAACAAGGCGAAGAAGAACCAGGGTCTTCCAGTTCAGTTTCATTTGTCGTCGTAAACACGCGTGGCCGTAGGAATTGGACTCGTAATATGTCCGTCCTTTAACTACCTTGTTTTTTTGTCTGAAAACTGTTTTTCTATATGATTTCTGTTACAGAGATCGCTCACTTTCAGTCTTCGTAGAGATCTAAAACGAATCTCACTCTCCCTTGTCTTCGTAAATATTTTTCGTTTACTATTAAAAAAAATGATGCGAATGAAGACTAAAACGACAGCGCTGCCGACAGCGGCGGCGGCGACACACGGCAGCTCAGCCTCTGGCGGTGGAGGTGAACCGGCCGCCCGTGAATGGGAGCTTAGACCCGGAGGCATGTTGGTTCAGAAGCGAACTCCAGATTCCGATCGAATCTCAATCCCACCACCGACTATTAGAGTTAGAGTCAAATATGGTTCCATCTACCACGAAATCCACATCAACTCGCAAGCTACATTTGGTAAAAAAATCTTTTTCCCCAGAAAAAAACCAGTTTAATTCCAGTGAATTAATCAAATCAATTTGGGTTTTTTCTTGCAGGGGAATTGAAGAAGATGTTGACCGGACCAACCGGATTACACCATCAAGATCAAAAGCTGTTATACAAAGATAAAGAGAGGGATTCGAAGGCGTTTCTGGATATGGCGGGTGTGAAGGACAAATCCAAGATTGTTCTAATCGAAGACCCGATTAGTCAAGAAAAACGATTATTGGAGATGAGAAAGAATGCTAAGATGGAGAAGGCTTCAAAATCCATCTCCGAAATCAGCTTGGAAGTCGATAGGCTCGCCGGCCGGGTAAGATTACGTTCAAATTCTCGTATGATCATGCAGTCTTTATTCTGGGTTTTGGTTAAGGTTTGAATTACATTTTTTTTGTCCGTTATCTTAGGTTTCGGCTTTTGAATCAATCATTTCAAAGGGTGGGAGAGTAGGTGAGAAAGATGTGGTCAATTTGATTGAGCTTTTGATGAACCAGTTGCTCAAATTAGATGGGATTATGGCTGATGGAGATGTCAAATTGCAAAGAAAAATGCAGGTAATGGGGAAAAGGGTTAATATTTGATACACTTACTCATAGTATATGTTAATTTATGGTATTTAGAGGCTTCATTATTTGTCATTGCTTTTGTTAGGTCAAAAGAGTTCAAAAATACGTTGAAACATTGGATACGTTGAAGATAAAAAACTCTATGCCAAGCAACAATGGAGCTCAAGCAAAAATGCAGACTCAACATAAGCACACCAATGGGCAGAACCTAGCCCCAATTCAAGAGCAGCAATGTAAGCATTCGGGTTCGGAAGGGGTTGTGGTTACAACGAATTGGGAGACGTTTGATTCTTCACCGGCGTTGTTGGCGGTCTCCTCGACATCTACCTCGAAAGCCAATAATTCAGTCCAGCCAAAGTTCCCTTGGGAGTTCTTTGACTAAGCCATTGTCTGTGTTACTTTACTGTGTGCGTTGGATGTGGTTTGCAATCTTTTTCTTCTTTTGGTACGTGCTTCATTCTTTATGTGCTTATATTTTTATTGGGCAAATCCCCCCTTTGTGTTAAACCTCTCATTTAGTTCACGAAAATAAATGGGGGCCTTCCACCACAGTTATGATTATAGTAAAAAAGGAACTGCTAATTCTCCCCATTTTTATTCATATCCCAATTTGTACTTTCCTACATTTGATGGTGACAAACACTTATTTGGTTTTTGTGTTTATTTTTGAAAACATTAGTGTTTGATTTGATTAAATATAATCAGAATCAATCGTTATAATATACCGGAAGAACAAAGTTTCAATGATTGTAAACTACTTTTTCCGGCTCTCGGAGATTAGTGTAAATGTATCCTAACCCTTAAATATATATTTAAACTTAAAGTTGTGTATAAAAATTTATGGACATGGATATTAATTGATCTAAAAATAGTCCATTGGGGGACGAGGTTGAAGACAAAGTATGTTAATCCTTGTTCCTTACTTACAGTGGGGGCAACATCTAACATTAAACTGACAAAAAGTATCATGAAAAGGTATCAAGGAAATGATTGGGGTTGCATCGTTTTCTTACAAATGTCCAGTGATTCGAAAAAGAGAAAAACCTTCCATATTTGGTCCTTAGAAGACATTTTGATGTTCAGTAATAATATGGATCCCGATTATATTTAGATTTAGATGGGGTGAGATCTCTGAAAACAAAACTTTAATAACATTTTTATATACAAATCTAAATTAAAAAAATAGATTAAAGTTGTGATAACTGGATCAAACCTAAGTGATTGGATTGTGGGTAAGGCAATCATATACCTTTGGCCTACTGAATATAAAGAGAGAGAAAGCAAGGGAGCATATTGAGAATGAGTAAAGAATAAGGTAAGTGAGGTTTCATTGCTTGGCGAAAAAACATGATAAATGATTATCCTTTTGCTTAGACCTTGGGAAAGAAACTACTCAAAGTAGACTATCTCAACGTGTCCTAAATTGGTAACATTCGAATTGGATCAGTTAAAACCCTATTTGATATATATTCAAGAATCAACAAAACTAGCAAATAGGTGAAAGTATTGTTCCAAGTTAGAAATTTGAAATTCATTTAGTGCCGACATAACCATCAGGAGCAGAAGTTGCAATCAGGCAACTCATTTGCGCTTCAAAGATGTCGACATATCTTAATTTCCATGCCAATATATATATATAAATATGTGTGCATTAAACATGGAAGGTTAGTGACAGAGAACATCAAATAATTGCTTGAGAAATATTCATATAATACAGTCGAATATTATTGTATTTAATAAAAGGATTGGTTACACATCATAATTGATCGAGCAGTCTGTTAGTGCAGATAATGATAATAAAAACAATAATAATTCTTGTTAATAATTGGATTTTAAAAATTAAATTATTATTGAATGAACAAAATTTCTCAATTTCCTTCGTATACAGAGTTGCAGACAAATGAAACCAGTGTTCTGCTACATGTTCATTGTATACAAAGGCTATCTTCCAAGTTCCAACTCTATTTTATGGAAAATTGCAATTACAATTATTATTAATTTTAAATAATTCAATCAAATTAATTTTATATTTAAAAATTTGAGTTAAATTTCAACTGTTTTTTATTTCAATGTTTACGTGATGTGACCGTATTTTGGTATCCGAAGATTCCGAATATTAAAATGTTGGTTCGTGTCCGGTCCGTTAAGCCTTTGTTTCCGTATTTTATAATCACAGCTACCTGATTCATTTTCTTTTATTTTTTCCTTTAAGCTATATTACTTTTTAAAAAATTACATAGAAAAAAAAAATCTTAAACTTCAAACTTAAAGGTCTATAATACATAATTCACCCATAAATTTTAAAAATTTAAATTATATAACTAAGAGATAAAACTTATTAAAATAAAAATAAGAAATCCAATTAAATTTAAAATATTTTGAAGTTAAAAAAATAATTTGAGAAATAATTTAAATGGTTAGAGTAAAATAATTTAAGAAATTAATAATTTAGAATTTTACAGTGAAATAATTTAAGAAATTAAGAATTTAGAATGTTAGGTAAAATAATTTGGGAATTAGGAATAAAAAATAAAAATATAAAAGAAATTTGGTACCAGTCGGCGGCTACCATATTAAAAGATATTTTGTGACATGGGCCTGGCTCAGAAAATCGAGAAAAATAACAGGCTGAGTACCTGACCTGAAAAACCAAGTATTTTCATTATAAATACATAATATTTTTAATCGGTTCAACAGATCGGATAATTCGAATAGGGTATTTTTGAACCCCTAATTAAAATCCCTAAATTTTATAATATTCTATTTTGGGGTCACAAAGGAAAACCTATAGCATTTGAGTCCAGCAAATGGAACAAATGGGCTAAAACAACTAAGCCCACATTCTACGACCACCTGATTGTTATTGGAAGCCCAAGAGAGTTTCTCAAACCTAACCGTACATTATTATTGAGAACGTTAAATTAAGTCTTTTTGTCTTAATTTTAAGCTTTAAATATTTATTAATTTTAAAGTTTAACAGCCTGATCACTTTCTCCATTTGATGTTAATCTTTAGTGTCTTAATCATATTTATCTTTAGTTTGATTAATATTGTGGATGTACCCAACTAAGGTGTGCTGATTCAATCTTTAAGACACCAATATAAAGTTGAAAGGCATAATTAAAAGAACAAAAGTAAACAAGTGTAATTATAATTTAATTGGTAGGTGTATGTATATCTCACTCTGTACAAAATGGCTTTGGGGTATGTCGCTATAACGGCCTACTAAATCTAATAAAACCATAAATTATATTTAGTGAGGGTTGCCCCAACTTAGCTTTAACCCTAATAAAAATTTATTAAAAATAATGAAGCACGTCATATATCACCCAACAATACAAACATAATTTTTTGGTTACTCGATTTTTAATTGTTATAAAATTATCAATAAAATTTTAAACAGTTACAACGATGTTAAAATAATAATGAATTTTAATGATCATTTTATCTCGGTCGATAAAATTTAATGATCATTATAAAACAATTGAAAGATCATTTTTATATAATTTAACAATTATAAGGTACTTTAGGCTTGAAAACTTTTACTTACTGTCCTTGTCGAGGGCTATACTTTTCGTGTGAACCCACATTGGTTAAAGAAGGGTAAATAAAGAGGGGTTGTGTTGATTTCAAAAAGAAGCATCTTTTCCCGAACATCATCACTATCTTCTTTATAGGTAAAATTGCATACACTTTCCGCAATTGCTTTGTAGATTGCAATATGTTGATGTTTGTGGTTGCCTATTCAGAATCCAAGTTTTACGTTTTCTCTTTACAAAATTACCTTCATCCATCTACTAAATACTTTGCATTTCCCTCTATAAAGGTTGATGCCTTTAGAGTCTTGAGTTCTAGGATTTGTACGTCGGTATAAATATAATGTGTAAGCTTTTTATTTAAATATTTTGTAATTTAAATTTTATTATAAAAAGATTTTTAGTATAAATACTTTATCGGTATTGATATACACTCAAATTCATATCATCTAAAAACTTACAATATCATAATGTAATAATATTATATTCGAGTGAATGACAGTTTTTTTTCCAGAAATGTAAACTATATTTTATTAATAAAAACAATAAAATGAATTAAATTACAATACACCTAAACATAGAAATAAAAATGGAGACAATAATCTTTAAAATAAATATTCATAAAATAAAAATATTAAATCCAAAGATACGATGATAAACGAAGTCTTCATTGAAAATGACGTCCAACATAAAAAAAATCCAATAATATTCATAAAACTTCTTCTGTCTGTCAATCGAGACACTTTATGAAGTGATAAAGGAGCAGTGAGCGAACTAAACAATTTGGTAGGCTATTTCTGTAACACCCCCAACCCGTACCCGACCCGGATACAAGTTTGAGATGTCACATTAACTTTTTAAAACAATATTTTTACAAAATAACAAAACATTTGGATTTATATTAAAAAAATACGATAATATACTGTTAAATTATGTTTCGTTATAACAAATTTAAGGAAAAAAATGTTTTTATGAATAATACTATACCGTATGAATAGTATCGATACTGTTTAAATAGTACCGTGAACAATAATGAATAGTATCATGAATAGTATATCGATGCACTGCTACAGTGCCATGAACAGTATACCGATGCACAAAAACATCGAATTTAAAATGTGTAGCGATGCACTGCTACAGTGTACCGATACACTGCTACAGTAATTTCAGCAAAACATACCTAAAACTGATAAAAACTTAACATTTCATCACTATAAAGTTACCATTTACATAAATACGTTTAAAACATTACAAAACTCAATCATATGATTTTACAAAACCGATTAGAGCATATCGGATTCAAATCTTTATTTACATGCCAACCACCATCAGTATTACAAAATACAACTATTCAATTCTTTTCTGATATGATCTTTGGAAAGGAGAAACTGACATGTCTTGCTTAACTTTTATCAGTCTTCCTTTTCTCGATCGGAACCTACGTGTAAAACAATCACACGCTAAGTCATTGACTTAGTAAGGCATAAAATATAATAATAATAATAATAATGTATCTCCTATAAATATGAACATATAATCTAATTATTCTATCATGTCACAGATAATTCAGTGTAAATGATAATAGCATGCTAACATGTACATTTCCGAGAATTTTAAGGTACGTGAGTACATTGAGGTTGTGCACTATTATGTTGTCAACACAGCTCAATCAATGTCCCGAAGGACCTATCCATATGTTCCTAAGAACATAGGTCACTGTCCATATGCCCCGAAAGACATAGGTAATTCTGTCCATATGTGTCGAAAGACATAGGTAATTATGTCCATATGTCCCGAAAGACGTATATAATATTGTCCATGTATCCCGAAAGATATAGGTAATTTTGTCCATATGTCCCGAAAGACAGGTAATTTTGTCCATATGTCCCGAAAGACATAGGTAATACTGTCCATATGTCCCGAAAAACATAGGTAATTCTGTCCATATGTCCCAAAAGACATAGGTAATAATGTCCATATGTCCCGAAAAACATAGGTAATTCTGTCCATATGTCCCAAAAGACATAGGTAATATTGTCCATATGTCCCGAAAGACATAGGTAAT